AACCGCGGTCCCTGATGCTTTTTGCTAAGCTTGTTCTAAGTAGGTGCTTTAGACCACTGAGCCATCTCTCCAGCCCGGTCAAATATATCTTGATTCCCAATAAGATTCACAACTTTGGCTCAAAACAAGTTTCTTCTACTTTATCATTATTTTTTCTAATATACTCTGTTTAAATGTCATAGAGCTGAGCTGGGATGTAGCTCAGAGAGAGTATTTGCCTAGCATGCACAGGGCTCTGAGTTCAATCCCCAGTACCATATACATGTACACACACACACGTCATACAACCTTAAGAAAGTTGCTGCCTGTGGTTTTAATGTACTTTGGTCTACTTTCAGTAAACACTAATGTTTTGGCCTAGTTTCAATAAACACTAATGTCTTGTAGGTTTGTACTGGATGGAAAAGAACTGTTTATCAATATGTCTTGTGCAGTATTTATCACCATGAATCCTAGGTATGTATCAGTGAATATGGTGGGGGTGTACATAGACCAGAATCCTTAAATCTTACTAATGGAGTTATCTGGTATCTCTAGACTCCACCCTACTATTTGTATCATTCATGACCAGCCACTTCATAACAGCTCTACATTTACCTGTGTGTGTGACCTCACATTAAGATATGACCAAGGGACATTTTGACTTCATAAATTTACAGAAAGAAAGGAAAATATCACCAGAAGGCACACTGATGAAAATGGCAGTAGAATAAGCATATGGTGGTTACATAGAGTAAAGGTTGGGCTGGTTCACTAAATATGTGATTAAATGCTTCTTTAGTCCAGGAAGTCAAAGGGTGATGGTGTGAGGTGAAGTGTAGGCTGAGACACAGAAAGAAAATGTGATAAGCCAGGATGCTCTATGAAATAAAAGCTACAACAAATGCCATCTTGTAGTTTTCAGATAAGGGTAGCCTAGAGAGACTGTAGAATTATTTAGGGTAAAGTATATGATGTAGTTCTTCATTTGAAAAGTCATGGAGTTATCTTGTTTTTCTTTTCCTCTTAAGCTATGGAGGTCGAGTAGAGCTCCCTGGTAACTTAAAATCTCTGTTTCGCCCAGTGGCAATGGTGGTGCCACACAGTCAAATGATTGCAGAAATAATACTGTTTTCATTTGGTTTCAAATCTTCAAAACCACTCTCTCAAAAGCTAGCTTGCTTTTTTGATTTGGCTAGCAAACACCTGGCACAACAGGTAAGAAACTGCTTGTCTCAAAACTTTTAAAGCTGATTATATAAAAATGAATAAGACTATAAAGTCATCAAGCATCTCTTATTCCAAATTATAGATTTCTTTCTCTGTACAAAGAAGTTAACATCTACAGAAGTGTTCTCAAACTTTATTGTACATCAAAATAATTGAGAGCACATTTTAAAGCATAGGTGCTAGGCCTTACCTCAGGTTCCTCATTTTGTGTATCTGGTGTGGAACTGGGGTACTGTATTTACATTTCCAGCACATTTTCAAGAAGTTCTCACAGTGTTTCTGATGCTACTGATTTGAATAATTGATAAATAATCTGAGGCATGAGTATTTGTTTCCAACTCACAATGGACTGGCTAGCTAATCACATTTTTTTCAAAGTGCTGTTTTCAATATTCTTGCAGTTCCTCTTTCTACTTCCAACTAGCCCTGATTTTTTTTTTTTTTTAATGGTACAAGGGATCAAACTCAGGACCTTGTACTTGCCAGGCAAGCACTTATTCCACTGAGCTATCTCGCTGGACCCCCAGCCCTGATATTGATAGTTCTTAACAACTGTTACTTTCTTTAAAGAAAGACTTGCTGAAATGTATAGTAATACTGTGAGATGAGAAGAAACTGGTCAAAAGGAAAGAAAACTGCAATGGGGCAAAGGAGAAAAGGAAGAGAAATAAATAGATACATCCATCATATAATTAAGATAGTTATAGTACTAATTGCTATTAATTTGTTGAAAAGAAGGGTTTATGCCTATATTGTTTGATCAAGTTTTCATGTCTGTATCTTGTTATATAAGCAACTACTTTGAACATATCAATGCACAATGTACTAAGAATTATTACTCCCTTACAATCTTGTTTTGACATTCCATTGTTTTTATTGTTTATTTTTCTTTAAAATAAAAAAGAGAAAGACTTGCTGGGCACAGCAGCACACATCTGTAGACCTAGCTGCACAAGAGTTTGAGAAGTGGGATGATAAGCTCAGTGTTGGCAATTTAGTGAGACCTTGCCAAAAAGCAAACAAACAAAAAAAAAGACTTTCAGACTGCAAATTTGTGTGAGAAATGAGAGTAGAAACCTCAGAGGTTTCTTGGATTCATGTTACTATTTCCTTTCATAGAATATTTGGTGAAAAAATCAAATTATTTCTGCCATTTAATAATTCAAGTACTTTAATTTTGATAGGCTCATTATGATTTTGGCCTGAGATCTTTGAAGACAGTTTTAATAATGGCTGAAAAGAAGAAACAGGAGTTTAAATGGTTAGTTGTACTTTGAAATTAATGTTATGTCAAAAGGAGTTATGTACCACTGGGCAAATAATCTGTAGAACTTTTAATAATGAAGTTAAAGCAGGAGCCTCAAGAGTGACACAGACTTCTCCTGTGGCAGAAGTTATCTAACAGTGTGAAAGAAGGCAAAGAGAAGGCACGTAAAGTCAGTGAGTGCCTTTCCCCAGGGGAGCCTATTCTTTTTTTTTTTTTTTAATATTTATTTATGTGTGTGTGTGTGTGTGTGTGGCCAGCTCAGCCCACCAGGGGGCGGGGCTGGCTGGCATGTGGTGCTGGGGGATTGAACCGCTGTCCATTTGCTTTGCTAAACTTGTTCTAAGTAGGTGCTTTAGACCACTGAGCCATCTCACCAGCCCAGGGGAGCCTATTCTTTAAAGAAAAAAATGCTTCACTATTTTTTTTTTCT